CGAATCAAATTTACATCGGCCGAACTGGTATCATCTTTATGTCATTTAACTCTGATTATTTTTATAAATGCAAACCTTCTCTCTTCAGATTCGCAGTATTCAGTGCGAAACGCATGCGTACGATTGCGCACGAACAAATAAACGGGCTGACTGCAGTGCAGTGAATCTTAACTCTTATGCATGATCTTTCTTGTCTTAAAGTAAGTCTAAAAGATTCGTTTGTAAAAGAAGTCTTGAAATAATTTTAATCTATGCTTTTATATGAAAGTACTGATTTAATGTGATATAAAAAAAATGCATAAGTTATAACATTGTAAGATTGTAAATACCATATTGTGCGTAATAAACTTACGAAAATATAATAACATGTGCATGCAATAAATAACTTTTGTTACCTGCTACGAGTTTCGCTTCCCGGGGTTAGTTTGTAGATCAGCCCTTCGATTTCGTTTTTTTCTCACGTTTAAAGGCAGGAAGTGTGACCGGCGATTGACGACGATCTTCCGCGAACATGTGCGTGAGCAAGTCGGAAACGTGACTTAAAATGAACGTGACCAAGGTGATTAACGGTGCTTAACATTCTCCTACTCTCCTTTCGGCTATTGTATGACGTCCACTCTGACGTCTGTCAAACGCTTTCTTTCCCCCGTCTTACTCGTCACCCATTTTTATGTAATTATATCGATATTGCAGTCTAGACAGATTTAACTGTTATCATTCAATCGTTACCTTTCGAATTTAGTCAACGCGTCATACGTACATTTACAGTTTACATACTTAAATTGCGCAATTTAATGAACCAGTTAGTTGCATCAATATTAAATCGAATTCGATATATTTCGAATATTTATTATTTAACGCACGTGATGTATTTGATTTGCCTAATTATCCGATTTGCTAATTATTAGCGAAGAAAATCGCTTTTTCTGTGCCCTTTCCAATCATTAAACGTGTGCCACTTTAAAATTGCCAGATAAAAGAAGAAAGTTATAAACAAATGTCGGCAATTATTGGGAAAGTAAGAGCACAAATTAATCAATGGTTTCTTCGTCTACTTCATTGGCTCCTGGGCTGCTCATTGGAGAAGCCTTATAGCATAGTTTACTGTGGTTAATTTAAAATTAACGTTAGGTAAAAGTTATAAAGAACCTTTCATGAAATTTGCGCCGCTTCCTTCGCCTTTTTACATCTAAGAAAGTTGATTGGCGAAATCTATAATGACATTGGCATTACTTCGTTTGTCGTCCCACGCTATTCAAGACCTAACTTAATTAAAATTTATTTAAATAAAAAATAGATATCACAATTTAATAAAAAATCCGGGTGTTGTTATTAAAATAATAAGAAATGTGTATAAAACTGTAAAAAAACATTTTATTTTTCTTTCATAATTTTAAACATTTATAATTTAAAAGCACTCTGTACCATCCTGTGTGTAATACATACCCGCACTCTTATATTATGCCATTTCTTTTGCGTCTGCACATTGTAGAAGTTAAAAAGATAAAGAGTACGCACTGATTCGATGTCCCGCTTAAGGTTCGATACTCTTCGTCTTCTTCGTCCTCGAGGCCGGCATAGCGGGGGCAATGTCAAGGTGGCCTATAAGGCCAGGCGCATCCCTGCCAGTCGATCATTCCTCGTCGAGAAACCTGATCGTTCCACGGTGTGCGTCGATAGGTTTCCAGTCGATAACGAAGAAAGGAAAGACGAAAAAAGCAAGCTGCCAGAGATGAGGAATGCTGTACTACTGTGCTATGCGTGCTCGCTGCTGATCGGGGCCCAGGCCATCGGAATATACAGAGGCCTAGAGTTTTTAGAGCCTTGCTCCAGGAGCGATCCGAAATTGGAAGCCTGCCTCGCTCGAACGGCCAATACACTTGTCGAACGCTTTCGTCAAGGTGAGATATCAAGAACCTAAAATAATTTACATATCTTGGAGTTGTCTTAAAGTTTCTATTTCTTATGTAATTTTTATTACACCTAACATTATTTGTTGTTACGACACATATCGTATTATAAATACCATCCGATTTCTAAAACGTCTGTCTAACTTTTTAATGATTATATATTCCATATGTCAAAAGATCTTATTTAATTTATGACTTAAAAAAAAGAGATTTGTAACATTAAAGCTGTATGATGAAATCAAAATCCTTTGATGAGAAGTCAGCACTCTTTATGAGCAAAGTTGTGCAAGAAGGTCAACGGCTAAGATACGAGTAAATTAAGAGAATGTTGATTTAAAATAATATTTAATTAATTTAAAATAGTAAATACAATTGTACATTTCGATTGTACTTTTAGTTTTCTTTAGTAACACAATAATTTAATATAGAAAAGAATAAAATTAATAATTATAATAAAGAGAAAGAGAACCTATAAATTAAACATTACAGTATTACGATAATTAAAATCTTTTTATTAGTTTCATTCCTATTTAATGGTATTTATGTTCATTGTAATTAATGATTGGTATGTCTTGAAGAACCTAACTTTGGGAGAGTTGAAGTATAGCGTAATTTACCGTTTCTTGCCATGTTTAAGAGAAGTCTCAGCAGATAATAGGAATTTGCGGTTCGTCGCGAAGTACATTGCTTGACCACTTCTTTACTCCGCGCTGTTGAGAATATTTATAAATTGTGCAAACTCTCTATTTTATTGTCACGTTTAATATTTTTAATAAAAATATTAAACGTATTTTTAATAAAATATAGTTGAAAAGTCAAATAAACTAAACAAATAATTTTTCTGTTATTTGAAATAATCAGTGTAAAGAAATATTGATATAATAAATAGTTCTGATTAAGTTTTTTCATTGAATAAGAAAAAAATTATATGGCTTTATTTAGAAAAATTATGCTGTTTGAAATATATAAGTATACAAGCATTTCTCAATTGATTATAAAAAGAAACGATAACAATGTTATTTTTTTAACTGTAACATGTATACATACTTCTAGCTAAGATTGAAAAATCTGTAGTAAACGCAAATAAAATATATAAGTGAATAATCAAAATTATTAACTTATGATATCACCGTCTTATAATAATTAATATAAAAATAAATTTGAATAGTGTATTCTCGCTTCTGAACAAGCAATTTTTGACATACTGTAATCAAAGAAGCGCTTTTTGAGATAAATGTATAACAACGTATATGATTTGTAAATAAATTGAAAGTTGAAAGTCTTGGAGCGAACCGGTTCCGTAACCACGTGGTTTTGTTAACGATCGCAGAACGTTATAACGGTGTATTCGAATGGTCACCCAGTGTCCTACATTCCACTCGTATTGTTTGATATTGCTTCAACACACCTGGAGTAATAGCTTTCTTCAAATATTTTAGCGAGTGGAAATTTTCTGAAATTATTTTTGGACGCCATAAACTTTTCAAATGGATTACAAAGACAATTAAGTAAACCGCAGGATTAATATTGCAATCTAATCTGCAAATTAAAATGGAATCCGATTTAATAGTGTCATTGCGTTATTATCAAACTGAATCAACACATACAAAGTGTCAAACAAGTTCTTGAAAAATAACAATTTTCAAAGAAATTATAAAAAAATTTATTGCACGTTGAAAGAATTTGCGTCATTTGCGGTGATGTTATTACGACGTTCTAACTATGTTGCAATTGCAGGTCTACCGCAACTGGGTTATCCAGAAGTAGAGCCAATTATTCTGGACGAGTTGCATATCGCGCTCGGCGGCGGCCCGAATGGCTACAAGGGGCAATTCAGGAATATCACCGCGAGAGGAGTCTCCGCTCTGCGAATAACTGGCCTCAGGACCAGAATGACCGACGACGAGGTGCAATTGCAATTGGCCTTTAGCATTCCCAGAATTAGAGCGGCCGCGAGATACCGGTCCAGCGGAACCTTGATCTTGGTGCAAGCTAGCGGCGCCGGGGATTATTGGGGCGAATACGGTAAGTCCGCTAAAAAAATATATAACTAATTAATCTTTGCTAATCAGTAAGCGTAATCTATCTATTGCGTTACCGTATACTTATCGTCTCAAGAGGTTGTTATTGCAGCCCGTGTGAGAAAGAAGAAAGCACTGCAAGAAGTACATGATCTTTTTTCAATGAATCTTCGACCAAGTGAAATGGCATTGAGATGCAAGTATGTCGTGACAGCGGTAACTTTCACTTTGAGCAGTGTATATTTATTGTCAAAAAACTCCACTTGCCGCGATAAATGCCATATGTAGCATCAATCAACTGTATTCAAACATATAATTGCAGATTGTGTATACGTATATCTGAGCAATTTTCAATGTGTATTAAAAACAATGTTTTATTCCAAACACGCAATTAGTTGAAAGTGTTATTACATGAAGCATCCATGTGTAATTATAACAATTGAAAAATAATGAGAATTACATTCTAAGGCTTTATGTAAGAATACATAAATTTTTTATAAATTACAGATTATTCTTTTGAATGCCTTTATAGTTTGAATAACATTTATGGCTCTGTTGATGCTGTACTAAATGACTTATACATGAGAATCTCTGCTACGTTAATCATAGTGTTAAATTCCTTGTAAAAGACAACGCGATTTATTCTTTGATTGTAAGAGAAATATTCTTCAAAGAAGAATCACGAAGGACGCCGCAACGTTCTCTTTTGAATAAGTTATTGTTATTCGCGTCTTCTTAAAGACACACACACAATTTAATGTACGAATTTTATAGCTTCCATCTTTCATCGGATTGTACAATTCTGAGCCACGAAATATTTATTTAAATATTTTCACGATACTTTCGTAGTAATAAAAAGAATCTTGTTACTATTATATTTTAAAAAGTATTTATTGATAATCCACAGTGCATTTGTTTAAACTTACAGAACACATATTTATGTTGTCAAATAGTTAATGTAATTTAGGAAAAGTACTAAAAATTAATTTTCAAAATAATTTAATCAGTTTAAACTTTTTATTGTTAATGGTAATCGTTAAAGCAAAATACAATCGTCATAAATTATATAAATTTATTTCAATTCTTTGAACAAAATCATCTTTTCTTTCATCTGTCATAATTTTATCCAATTTTTTCTTTTTTTCTAGAGGGTGTCAGGGCCAAGGTCTTTCTCAGAGCAAGACCATTTGCGTATGAAGGTCGTCGTTATCTTAGATTGCAGCAACTAAAAATGGACTTTAGCGTACAGAATATCAGAATGGGAGTTGAAAATGTGCGCGACACCAACAGTATATTGCGTAAGTCCTAATTTCTGTAATAACTTTCAGTGTGTATGCATTTAAAAGATGAAATAAAAAACTTTATAATCCTAAGTGCTAATATTACGACCTAATAGTATAATAAATAAAACCTAGTAGTATAACAAATAAAATTTAAATATACCTTTGGCTAAATAAAAGATTATTGAAAAATGGAATCAGAGGTTAAAGGATCAATATATAAAGCTAAATTTAAATAATAGAGCAAATAGAGCAAATAGATGATTAAATGTATAAAATTGATATGTAGGATATTTTTTATTAACGCATTTAAAGAATTATGAATCTCATATTTAAAAGATTTATTTAAATCTTGAATTATATTCTAATACTACTTTCTTGTTTCACACAGTGGCGGCGCTTAATCTTTTCATCAATACCAATAGTCAGGAATTGTTGAAAGAAATGAAACCGGATCTGCGGAGGAAACTGGTGCAGGTGATGACGACTTTTGTAGAGAAACTTTTTGCTCAGGTGCCATATGATGCCTGGATTACGGATTAAACAATCGGGTGATAAATGCCGAGAGGAAAACCCCAACCATTACTGCGTCATTGATGCACTCTTGAACCGCGATGCGAGGTTTAACGCGAAAAAAGAACGCTCTTGTGAACTTACAATAGAATCACGGATGACAAAAGTATCGATTATTTTTAATCGGTATTTCCAAGCGAGAAAAAGATTTCGACAAAAAGTTTCCACGTAATGATCAATGGTCTTTCTAATTTTGCACGTGAATTGCCCGAAGGGCAATCTATATCTGCAAAGGTTATAAACAATTACGGTGCATATATACGATACAGGGTATTTCATATAAAACTCGGCAAAATTTAAGCGAGTATTCTTTGAAAAATTACTAAATTTTTTTATTTTTTAAGTGTTTTCCGAAGCACGATTATAAAGATATTTATACGAAAAACTTGAGAATTTTTTACTTTAGGGTTGCAAATCAATAACAAGAATAATTATATATACACACACGTATATAATTTAAGATATGTGGTAGGTAAAATAGACATTAACCGTGAATAATTTGTAGTAAATTCTTCTTGCTTTGGATAGTCCATTATTTATTTCATCTTCACTTCATTAATGACATTGAAGAAGTTAAACTAATAATTAATCATTCGAAACATTTTATGTAATGGCGTATAAACGGCGTATAAATGGCGTATAACATGTTTAAGTTATCCGGATGTACTTTTATTATTATTTAACGTCATACACATACGTGGATTTATTAAGAATTAGATAATGACAACTTGCTAAAAAA